ATGTGGGCTTTTTTTCCCTCTAGTTGTGGTGAGTGGGGGCTATTCTTCGTTGTGGTGCACGGGCTTCTCATTGCAGTGGCTTCTCTTCTTGCGGATCATGGGCTTCAGTACTTGTGGTGTGTGGGCTGAGTAGTTGTGGCTCACGGGCTTAGTTGCTCTGCGGCATGTGAGATCTTCCTGGACCAGGGCTCAAACCTGTGTCCCCTGCATTGGCAGGCGGATTCTTAACCACTGTACCACCAGCGAAGTCCCACACATTGAGTCTTCTAATCCATGAACATGGAATGTCTCTCAGCAGTTTCTCTTAGCACTGTTTTATAGTTTTCAGAGTACAAGTATTGCACTTCTTTTGTTAAATTTATTACCATCTTAATCTTTTTTAAGGTACTGTGAATGGAGTTGTTTCATGAATTTCATTTTCAGATTGTTGCTAATATATTTTGGGTTTTATCCTGCCCCTTGCTAAACTTATTTACTATAGAGGTTTTCTTTTTTAAATGGATTCCTTGGGATTTTTTTACATACAGGATCACGTCATCTGCAAATAAAGACACTTTTACTTCTTCCTTTCCAGTGTGTATCCTACTTTGCATATCTGCTCTCCTGGAAAAGGCTGAAAGAGTCTATGTTCCAAATCTTTTGATTTGGCTGCTAAGAGCTCACCCAGGGAAGGGAGAGGGCGCTCTGAAAACATACCAGTGATCCAGGAGGCGAGGCTGCTGCTTTCTTGTTCTAGAGGATATTTCACATCGCACCCCCAGCCGCAATGACAGGAAGCTCTTCTCCTGGGCTAGAAGTCATGTCCTCCGGACACCAGACCCTGAAAGGCAGGGTCACCTTGTATTCCTGTAAGAGCCAGGTGGGTATATTAAGTGGTAAAGGAACACTGGGTATGAGGAAATAGAGAGTGGGGGAGACTGGCAGCCTGGAGTGACTCTGCCCTTTCTGTGAAGCAGTCATGAGTCTGTATTTTTTTTTTTTTTTTTTTTTGCGGTACGCGGGCCTCTCACTGTTGTGGCCTCTCCAGTTGCGGAGCACAGGCTCCGGACGCGCAGGCTCAGCAGCCATGGCTCACGGGCCCAGCCGCTCTGCGGCATGTGGGATCTTCCTGGACCAGGGCACGAACCCACATCCCCCGCATCGGCAGGCGGACTCCCAACCACTGCGCCACCAGGGAAGCCCATGAGTCTGCTTTGATGACTGAGTCCATGTGGGGTGAGAGTATGCAGACTTTCTGAGGATCTGCAGACCTGCACCTCTGCCAAAGCCATCAGTTCAATATAGGGGAATTGGGACCTCCCGAGAAAGCCCGTGCACAGCAACAAAGACACAACACAGCCAATAAATAAATAAATAAATAATCTATTACATAGAGGGGGAACTGAGACTTTGTAATATGTCCAGTGGCACACAGCTAATTATCAGCTGTGACGTGTAGCTCCAGATTTTGTGTCCTTTACCGGCTCAGTATTTCTAGAACGCCTATGGGGGTGCCATGAGCTTTAAATAAGTAACACGTTTTACAGGGAAGCCATGTGCTTATTTGCCATCCAGATATCTTCTTTAGTGAAGTGAGTGTTCAAGTCACTTTTGCCCATTTTTAAAAATTAGGCTGTGGGAGGTCCCTGGTGGTCTAGTGGTTAGGGTTTGTCGCTTTCACTGCCGTGTCCTGGGTTCAGTCCTGGTTGGGGAACTGAGATCCCACAAGTCCTGTGGTGTGGCCAAAAAAAACAAAAGTTGTAAGAGTTCTTTATATAATCGAGATTCAAGTCCTTTGTTAGTGTTTTTTTAACAGATAGTTTTCCCAGTATGGCTTACATTTTCATTTTCTTGAGAGTGACTGTTGAAATACAAAAGTTTAAAATTTTGATGAAGTCCAATTGATTTGTATTTTTCTTGTTATGCTTTTTATGATATACTTAAGAAATTCAGCAAATCCAAGGTCACTATGCTTCCTTCTAGAACTTTTATGGTTATAAGTTTTATAGGTATGTCTATGATCAAGTTTGAGTTAACTTTTGCACATGACTTGAGGTATGGGTGGAAGTTTGTTGTTGTAATATATGGCTGTCCAGTTGTTGATTTGGTTGGTTGAAAAAATTACGTTTTCCTCTGTGAATTGCTTTGGTCAGTTTTGGTACATGGAACCCAAAAGTCCACTTGGCATCTGGCTTCAGGCACTAAGTGGATCTGGGGCTCAAGTAACGCTGCCTTCCTCCGTGGCTCATTCACAGATCAGCCTTCCTGTAGAGTCAAGACAGATGTCAGTAGCCCCAGTTCATAGATGCTCAGAGCCATAAGGGCTTTATTTTGGATGTTCTGGCACATGCACATGATCATGTACCCACAGGCGCATGTGTGTGCACACACAAACACCCCCCCCCCCACACACACACCCGCAGGCCGGCTGCCCTGCACAGAGCCCTGTTGGGGAGACCACAAGGCAGGTTCAGGTCAAGGACACTTCACCAAATCAAGGACTCTTCACCAAAAGTCTTCATTTTACAGGATCTACACATCGCAGACCATTTGGGGTACAAATGATTCAGCTCTGATGACAGGTGTCTGCCCTACCTTGCTTGGAGGCCTGAGTTCCACATGTCTCAGCTGGTCTTTAATTCTGATCCCAAGCCACTCTCCCATGTTGGTGGGAGGCAACTGATACACCCAGGAGAGTGGGCCTGAGCAGGCCAAGGGTCCCTGGATATCTTGTGATGCTAGGGATGAATTGGTACTCTGGGGAAATCAAATGCTTAGAACCAACACACCTTTGTTCAGTATGTTGTGGCATCACCAGGGAAATATTAAGGTTCCAGTAAGTTGGCTGGTGTGACAGAGCTCTGGTGGGGAGAGTAGAAGGTAGGTGAAGGGCTTCATCCAGGCACTGGGGGCAGTGTTATGAGGCCTGTCTAACTACAGCTGACAACACGGGTTCAAGGACTTGAGCCATTGATGATGTGTCCACCCTTTGCCAGGAAGCCTGAGGCCCCAAGGTTCAACTGAATGTAACTCTGATCCCAAGCCTCCCAAGTTGGTGGAAGACAATCATTACACCCAGAAGGGATGGTCTGAGTTCAGGGGATTCCCTGACACCTTGGGTTGCTGGGGAGAGCTCAGGCACATCTGCCACGTGCTCGGCTGACCACAAGCCTGCCAGGAATGCCATCCCTCATATGGTCAGTTTCAGGGAACTGGTGGAGGATTGGGGGGGTAGGGTACAGAGAGTCATCCTGAGTGGAGTAGCAGCAGTGCCACTGTCCCTGCTACGTGCTGTGCAGTAAACACTGGGCCAAAAGCCTTCGTGTCTGGGGACCCCCAGGGACCCTTGGGCTCCCTGAAGCCTGGTTTGCTTATTTTCTAAGAGTCACAAGTGTTGGTCCAGGAACACATATGGAACCTATATACATAGTTTGCATTTGTACCTATAAACTTTGAAGTTTGGGGGAAATAGTTTTCAACCTTTATAAAATATAAAGCCTCCACATAAAAACATGGATCTCTCACTCCTCTTGGAAAACCAGAAAATGGGGAAACCATATGTTGATTCCACCGTCTCTGACCCCTATACCTGGGGACAGCTGTGCCTCAGTGGCAGCAGAAAACAGGAGACGATAAGGCCAATGGCCACCACACTCGCCTGGAATACTGACTGGGCCACTAAAATCCTGGACTGCAGGACCTCCCTTCTCAGTCCCAGGGTTCCTGCCTTTGCAGTGTTGGCCTTGAAGTGAGCAGCTCTGGGAGGCTGTAGGAATCCAAACCACCTCAAGATTATTGTCTGGCAGTGAGCACCTCACCCCTGGTTACACCCCTCAAGTGGCATTGCACTTGTTCTGGAGGACAAGGCAAGAGCATGCAGGACTCCCCTGTACAGCTGAGTCTCTCTTGTGGCCAAGGTCACTGTCAGCAAGTTTGGCAAACACTACAAATCAGGTTTTCTCAGGTGTGTTATTTTTTCCCCGAGAGCTATTGTTTGCTAATTTCTGTGGTATAAATTCCACCATGGCTATTTCAAGCTGCCCACTTGATGTTGAACACACTCAGCTCTTGTGAGTGGGTATGATGTGCGTGGCCCAGGCACAGCGTCGGCCACATCTCCGTTTGTCACAGTCTTCCTGAGCTCAAACCCAGTGTGTCCACACCCACTTATGCTTCTACGTGGCCCCTGTAGATCTTAAATCCAGAGATACCTACCTACAGATTCTGGACATCAGAGGCCTTACTGGACCCATGGGCAGGTCCCAGGAGACATCCTCCCCTCAACACTTTTGAGGGATGTGGGACATTCCCAGGAATGCTGTGCAGGAATTGCTGGAGATTCCCACACCAGTACTTAAACCCCAAAGCTCTGGGCCCAACAAATAGTCCTGGCACCCAGGATATAAGATTTGGCCCAGAGACCTTCAGTCTGTCCCAGGAGGCCTTGGGCTACAAGGCAAATTAGATTAGACTGCACGCTATTCCTTGCCATCCTACTATCAAAGTCTGGGCCCCCACAAAAGCCCTTCCCTCTCTTGGCACCATCAGAGCCCAATTCTGTTCTCCATCTCTCCCCATACACAATGGACGGAGTCTCAGGATTAAAGATGGTTTCAGCAATAAGGTCTTTATTATCACACTCTGCAGGCAGACAGTTCCAAGGCTGGGTGATATGGAGGCTGGACCAGTTCACTGCAGGCATCATCTGTAGACTCAACAATGCCCATGAAGAAGGAAACTTCCTCTGGACTCCAGATCGTCAGACTCCAGATCCTCCTGGAGAGAACTACGTCAGGGCAACACCTGAGCCACTGGGGACAGGGGAGAGGTGGAAAATGAGGCCACCCCAATGGGCTCCCAAAGTTTATGGCTCCCTCCAGGGAATGAGAACACAAGCCTGCATTCCCTGAGTATGTTGAGATGACAGGCACATGGTGTGGGGATCTGCCAAATGGTAGAGGTGAGAGGGCACCTGGCAGTGACATAATCTGGCAAAGCACCTGGACAGGTTAGAAAGTGCTGCATAGCTCCTGCAAGCTTCCCACTTACCACTGGCACTACAGCCAATCTCCCAGTAGGGGTGTGAGATGCGCAAGTTTCAAATTTTGGCTGATGGCTTCCTCACAAAGGTTCCTTTCATAGGAGTTTCTCAGGAGTGAGTCCTTTTATGGAACAAGGAGAAGGTCCCCACTAGTGTTTATCCACTCTTGCCACATTCCTAAGGCCTTTCTTTGGTGTGACCGTTCTGGGCTGAGGGAGGCTGGAGCTCTGGCTGAAGGTGATCCTATGTCCACTGCACTCAGACGGCTCTTTTCCAGTGTGACCCTTCTGGTGCTTAGAGAGGTTTGAGCTGTAGCGGAAAGCTTTTCCGCATTTGTTACACGCATAAGGCTTTTCTCCAGTGTGAACTCTCTGGTGCTGACTGAGAATGGAGCTTTCGCTGAAGGCCTTCCCACACTGGCTGCACTTATAAGGCCGTTTTCCAGTGTGAACTTTCTGGTGCTTAACAAGGTTAGAGCTGTAGCTGAAGGCTTTCCCGCATTCAGTGCACTCATAAGGCCTTTCTCTGGTGTGAACTTTCTGATGCTGAATGAGGGCAGAGCTTTGACTGAAGGCTTTCCCACATTCGGAGCACTTGTAAGGCTTTTCTCCGGTGTGAATTCGCTGGTGTGGAACGAGGTTGGAGGGGCAACTGAAGGCTTTCCCACATTGGTTGCACTTATAAGGTCTTTCTCCAGTATGACTCCTTTGATGCAGAATAAGTTTGGAGGTTTGCTGGAAGGCTTTTCCACATTCACTGCACTCAAAAGGCCTTTCTGTGTTGTGAACTTTATGATGCCGGACAAGATGGGAGGTGTTAACGAAGGCTTTTCCGCATTCGCTGCACTCATAAGGCCTTTCTCCGGTATGTATTTTCTGGTGCTCGACAAAGTTGGAGATACAGCTAAAGACTCGCCGACACTGTCTGCACTCATAAGGCCTCTCTGCGTTGTGAACTTTCTGATGCCGAACAACGTGGAAGCTACGAGTGAAGGCTTTCCCACACTGGTCACACTCATAAGGCCTTTCTCCAGTGTGAACTCTCTGGTGCTGAGTGAGTGAGTGTTTGCGGGTGAAGACTTTACCACATTCACTGCAACTGAGATGCGCTTTTCCAGCATGAACTTTCTGATGTGTCCTCAGGTTAAACAGGTGGCTGAACACCTTCCCACATTCCTTACACACATGGGATGTTTCTCCAGTGTGAGTTTTTTGGTGATTAAACAGGGTTGAGCTCTCCTTGGGGGCATTTCCACCTGCTGGGCACCTGAAGGGTCTCTCTTTGGCGTGAGTGATCAGGTGGTTGAGGAGTGCAAAGGCCTTCAGGAAGGCTTGTCCACAGTCGCTGCACTTGAAGGGTTTCTGTGAGGCATGGCCTCCCTGCTGTTGCTGCCAAATGGAGCTGGGTGAGAAGGCCTCCTTACACTCGGTGCTTCTGTGTGATGTCCCCTCTCCGTAGGTGGCCTGGGGCTGGAGGCCATGGCTGTCCAGGACAGCCTTAGCATACTCCCTGCATGTGAAGGGTTTCTCTTCACTGTGCTCCTTCTGGTGCTTGTGAGAGTTTGCACTGAGCCAGAAACCTCTCCCACATGTCTCACAAGTGTACGGTTTCTGCCTGGGTTGTATTCCCTGGTGCTCAGCCAGGTGTAATATGTCTTTTAACACTGGGTCATGCACATCACAGGTGTTGGCCTTCTGGATGGATGGATCTGCCTTGGGGGTCCTGGACTGAAGCACTGCTACATAAACACTCTGCTCATAAGATGCCTCCTCAGCCTCTGCTCCACACCCATAATCTGAAAGCAGAGAAATGCCAGTGAAATGTATGTAGGCTTTGTTGGGAGAGGGCAGCCCCTTCACAGATGTGTGTCTGACACATTCAGGAATGAGTCTGTAGATCAAGTTGGGGTGAGGTAGAGCCAGTGGTGCAGGACTGGGCCCAGGAAGGCCACAGAAAGCGAGGGCCCATCACCTGTGAGAACATGGGTGAGGTTCAGGCTGGGAGGAGAAGCAGAGATTCCAACTCATTCCTCAGCTTTCATCAGGAGAGGTGAGAGCTCTGCCAGGAAAAGAGGACACAGAGCCATGTGCACAAGCTCAGGAAAACCCAGGGAACCTGGTGCTCTGAGTCTACATGAGATACACATACATGTCATGACACATGGACTGTAGGCTAACCTGGGACAGCCCTGCAAAAGGAGGAAAGGCGGGGAATGGGGGAGAAATGGAGATCAGAGCAGTGAGGCTGTCCGTCATCAGGGCCTAGGTACAAAAGACAAATGGCAAGTAGGTGGTCTGTCCTTAATGAAGAAGGAAGGTGGGGGTCAGGTGGGGCTACTGGCTCCAGCAACAAGCTCCAGTGGACACAGGGGAAGTACCCAGTATAATGTGAGCCCACCACAATGTCGCCTCTGCCCCCAGCTCCCATTCACCAGAGCCAGGCCCCTTCCCAGCCTCTCTTGCTGTGGCTGCAGACATGGGCACCCAGGGTCCTTTGCCCTGTTCCTGTGGTTGGGCAACCACACAGGACGTGGAATATGCAAGTCCTGGCAGAAAGAGCGGATGAGGGGGTGGCCTAGCTCAGGGCAACCTATCCGGTGACAGACCAAAGGGAGTTCGTGTCATCTTTGCAACTGGGAAGAAAACCCAGTGTTACAAAATCAGCTCCTGAGGAGCGGCTCCCAGGAACAGCCCAGTCGTCTCCACAAGCAGTGACCACGTCGGTGTCTGCAGTCCACAGCACAGCCAGGCACAGAGGTGCCACCGATCCGGACCAATTTAGGCAGCCGGATTGAGACTCCGAAGCCTGAGCCCTTCCCCAGAAGGCTTCGGAATCAGGTGTTGGGGCACCTCAGAGAAAGGAGCAGGCAAACACGAGGCAGATGGTCCAGGGGAGCAAGCAGCACCCATGCTCAGCTGCGGGAAGACAGAGCTGCTTCTGGGAGAAAAGGAAAGGCAGAGCCTAGGAGGCTGGGAGGGCCTTACCCAGTGAGGCCACAAGTGCCAAGTTCTCCAGCATCACATCACAGTACAGGTGCCTCTGAGCCTCGTCAAGGAGCCCCCACTCCTCCTGAGAGAAGTACACGGCAATGTCCTCAAAGGTCCCCCAGCCCTGCCATGATGAAGACAATTAAGTCAGCTAGACCAAAGGGTGGTAGAAAAACAAACAAAAAACAGTGCACAGATGAGCCCATACATACCTAGGTCTTTCACCCTGCATCATACCACCTCTCTGGTGGGCAGTCTCTGACCCCTAAACCATCCTCCCCAAATACTCCAGGTCACCCACTTCCCCCAGATGCAATGTCATGGGTGCTGCTGTCTCCTCATGTCCCATCGGTCACTGTCCTTCAAAGAGCAGGCAGGTGGACAGATAGATGCTATCTAAACCCTTAGCCTGGCATGTAGGGCCCCACTTCCTCCTGCTAGGTAATTCCCCTGGGTCCCCAGATCCTGCCACCCAGAAACACCAAACTGGAGGCCCCCTTTCTCCCACAGGACCCCCAGTACCAGATTCCAGTCCGCTGACTCATCTCCTCTGCATGCACACATCAGGCTTTGTACTGCACATCTCCAGACCCCACACCATTCCCTGGCCCACACAATGGGCATCTCCCAGCCATCCCACATGCCACTGTGCAAATGGTGTCCAGAGCCTGGCTACTTGGTGAGGTCAACCAGTACCCCTTCCTGACCCAGACTTCAAAGAATTCCAACTGCCAGGGGTGGCACCCAGAGTTTCCTTCATTGTTTCTGCAACTGGGCCTATTCCTACCTTTGACTCTCAGCCACCAAGGCCAGACATGGATCTCTGGCATGTCCTGGCCTCTGACTTTCTGCATGCTGTCACCTCCCCAGCCACTGTATTCTTCTCTCCTAATGTATACTCAAAGTCCAGGCCCACCACCTCCCACCCCAGGCCTGCGACACTCCCAGTTGCCTGCCTGCCACTGAGCTAACCTGCTATCCTAACTGAAACTCACAGGCCCCACAGAGTGGGCCAAGAAAGGCTGGTGAGCCATAGAGAGGTGAATGGCCACCAGCCCTGGTCCTGCTGTCACCTACCTCCACCTACAATATGCCTCAGCCTCCACCCCAGTGACCGGGGGCCCCTTCTGGACCCTCCTCTCCCACACACCCCTTCCTTTGTGGCTGCGCCTCCCTTCACCTGAATTTGTGACACCCACCATCCCTGTCCAGGTACCCTCAGCTGCCCCCATGGGGCATCCATCACCATGCCCTAAAGACGCTCCCTCCTAAATCTGCACCTGAGTTCCACCTCACTTCACAGGCTGGCTACTGCCAACTGGATGTCTCCAAGTGGAACCCCTCAGCATAACTTCGACCTGCACTCAGAAGTCTCTGGGACATCTCAGTCTCCACATGGTCAAAATCCACCTCCTGATCTTCCCTGAAACCACTCCATCTCTGTCTCTGTCTCTGTCTCTGTCTCTGTCTCTGTCTCTCTCTCTCTCCACCTAAAATCAGGCTGGCTTAACTTAAAAGACAGATCCAAGCTCCAACCACTTCTCCCAACTCCAGTCACCGCTCTGGCCAAGCCACTGCTAAATTAAGGTAGCATCCTTGTGTGCCTCCTTTTCTCTTCCCTCACTCTCGCTCTCCTGTCTGTTTTCCACTCTGCAGCCCGAGGAAGCCTGTGAACGCCTGAGTCAGATCACCTCCCTCTTCTGCTCCAAAACTTCCGTGGCTCCCGCCACCCTCAGGTGACAGGCCAAGCTCTTGTCCACCAGGCAGCAGGGAGACCTTCAGTTCCCTGAACACTCCCAACTGAGCTTCACCGCCAAGCATGTGCACATCCTGATCACTGTGCCTGAAACTGCTTTGCACGCCTTGTCCCGCTGGATTCCAGAATGAGAACGTTTCCACAAAAAAACCTGGCCAGGACGCGGCACCTTGGGCTTTCAGTGACCCCAGGGTCCCAGTAGCGAAGATGGAGGGGCACAGTCCGGGAGCAACCCCTCCCCTCTGTCGGGGGTCCCGGGCCACATGGGTAGGGGTCCGAGTGAGTGGGGGCTGCGGGGACCCTCCACTCACCCGCAGCGGGTCCCTCAGCGCCACCGCCATCAGACCCAGGCGGGCTCTGCCGCTCCCTACAGCCCCAGCCCCAGGCCGGGGGCCTCCCACCGCCCGTTGCACGCGGGGCCTCTGTCCCCACGGTGTAAACGCCGCCTCCAGGGACCGTGGGGACGCAGGACACCACGTTACAGGACACTGCGGCTCATACGGAGCCTGGAGGCCGGTCCCATCCTCCTCACTGTCCACCTCGGCCGGGTCCCGAGGAGGAGCCTGGAAAACGGCCACGACCCAACACTCGGGTCCCCAAGGGCAGTGGAAAACGACCTGTCAAGAGCAGAAGGAATGCCAACAATGGCGACGCCGGAAGTTCCGCCCCCGCCGACCGAGCAGCAGGAAACAGCCCTTGTTCTGGGCTGTGATTGGTCCAGAACCCGCCACCCCCGATGCCTTGTGGTCAATGTAGTTTCAGTCCTGTATTTCCACCCCACCCCCCGGCGCGGCGCCCACACTTTCTCCATTCTCCATAGCAACGCCAAGCTACCTCTAGAAGGGCGCTGGGAAATGGAGAGCTGAGAAAAAAGACTGGCAGGAGCGTGTCTTTGCTTCCTTTTAAAGGGGCCGCTCCCAGGTTTCCTCCCGCAGAGATTGTTGTCCAGCAAGTGACCCGTGTCCTGGGCCTCGGACAACAAGCCGTGAGGAGGCCCCTGGGGAACCACTTGTTGCCTTTGAGGGTGTCAAGTGAAAATACTATCTTCCTCATGGAGACTTTTTTAGTAACCTTAAATGTCTCTCTAATTCAGTGGTCCCCAAACTGTGGTCCCTGAATCAGCATCACTGGGGAACTGGCTAGAAATGCAAATTCTTGTCCCCACCCCCCCACAGGGATGAGCCTGACAAACCCTTCTGGAGATTCTGATGCTCTAAATTCAAAGAATCAGGTCTAATTCAAAGTCCTGTGACAAAATTTGGAAAATACCACAACTTTCCTCATGAGAGGTGACATGAAAAGTGCTTAGCTGGGCTTCCCTGGTGGCGCAGTGGTTGAGAGTCCGCCTGCCGATGCAGGGGACACGGGTTCGTGCCCCAGTCCGAGAAGATCCCACATGCCGCGGAGCGGCTGGGCCCGTGAGCCATGGCCGCTGAGCCTGCGCGTCTGGAGCCTGTGCTCCGCAACGGGAGAGGCCACAACAGTGAGAGGCCCACGTACCGTACCGCAAAAAAAAAAAAAAAAAAAAAGTGCTTAGCACAGGGCCAGGCACGTGGTGCTACATATATGAGAGAGCTAGTACTGTTATTGTCCTTATCGTCACCAGCAGCATCATCCCAAGGCTCTTACATACACTGCCAGGGAGAGCAAGTAAGAGATGCCTGTCTACAGAATGCTTGTTGACACTGTCGCTGGAAGTAATCAATAAACAATCTCTACTAGGGATAGAAGACAGTTTTATCTGAGCCAAACTGAGGACTATAGCCCAGAAGACAGCCTCTCAGATAACTCTGAGGAACTGCTCCACTGAATCATGGCACATTTTTATATCTTGTCAGAACAAAGAACATCAGACAGGTCAAGGATGCATTCCTTCAAGGTTTTAAAAAAAAACCAAAACAGGTCAGCATGCACACAGTCAATATGGCCTTGAGAAGAAGCTAGTCTTATCATTGAAGGAATACCAGCATTGGCATCCCAGGAAGGGAGGCATTTAAACTTTATTTTATTTTATTTTATTTATTTATTTATTTATTTTTGCGGTACGCGGGCCTCTCACTGCTGTGGCCTCTCCCGTTGCGGAGCACAGGCTCCGGACGCGCAGGCTCAGCGGCCATGGCTCACGGGCCCAGCCGCTCTGCAGCATGTGGGATCTTACCGGACCGGGGCACGAACCTGTGTCCCGTGCATTGGCAGGTGGATTCTTAACCACTGTGCCACCAGGGAAGTCCCTATTGGCCATTTTTATTTCTTCATTTGTGAATTATCTCAGTACTTTGCTCATTTATCTATTATCCACAATACGACTAGTTATTTTATTACAAAAGTAACTAAAAAGTAATGAAGACATTGTAAAATAGATTAGAACATTTGAATATTTATAGTGTTTTATAACATGCTGTTTAAATAACTCAATCCAATACATTGAGAATATCTTTCTATGTCAACCAGTGTATATCTAAGCCATCATTTTTTTTTTACTTTTTTTTTTTTTTGCGGTTCGCGGGCCTCTCACTTTTGTGGCCTCTCCCGTTGCGGAGCACAGGCTCCGGACGCGCAGGCTCAGCGGCCATGGCTCACGGGCCCAGCCGCTCCGCGGCATGTGGGATCTTCCCGGACCGGGGCA